CATCTTGTAGAACCAATTCAATCGACAATATAGTGCCTGGATTAAAACGATCCGGTACTTCCCACAAACGGACAACACGAACTTTCAACTTCCATTGCATCTTCGAAATTGTTATATCCTTGATGAAATCAATGTGAGTAGCCATCTTTTGCATAAGCCCTAAGTTTTCTTGAAATCTTGATAGAAGAAGGAACTTTAGAATTGAAGAACATGTAGTTGAGGAAGAAATATAAACTCCTCTACGCTTGAGCAGTTGATACCCAGTATACGAAACGTGGGTTAAGCAGTTGATTCCATCGTGATTTTGCAGAGAATATTTAGGTTAAGTTGAAGGTAAAAAGTAATTACCTAATATTGTGGAGTAAAAGGTTTTAACAAATAAATTGTTTTAATAATTTAAAAAAATTAAAAATTCAGATAATTTAAGAGGAGTTTGAACGGTTTAGAACTGAAAGGTTTTGAAGGCCCCTCCTATTTTTGAGGAAGGCGGCGGTTTTTTAACAAATACAATGGTTTTTTCGAAATTCAATGATTTAATAATTGAAAAAAATTTGAAAATTTAAAAATTGCACAGAAGTTGGAACTGTTTACTCATGAGTGGTTTGAATTTTACTTCCACAAAATTAGGAGCAATGTCTTAACATGCCATGTGTCATTTTATTGTTCTGCCATTTGGCTTCATGAGAGGCCTTTTTCTTTAGCTTTTAATTACAGATAGATGTGGCTAATGGCTAACCGTATAGGATTGGAGAAGTTTCCTTTTTTTTTAAAACCAAAATAGGAAGTAAAGATATAAAGACAGGATTAATAAGATGGAGAGCCTAACAAAAATACGGCAACATTGGTATCATAAATCAACACCCTCGTCAAGCCCTTTAGAACTAATTATCACATTTGAATCAATTTGTTTGTCGAACTTCTTTTTACGCCTGGTTTCAAATTCTTGAAATCCTTCCATCTGAAAGAAAAGTAGTCAGTGGAGACCTCCATTAGTGACTTTTTTCAGGATGCACGGAAGTGAGCACAATAGTGACTTACTTGTTGAAATTGGTCCATGGAAATGGGGTTGCCATGTAGGGCTATGCTTTGCAGACCCTTGCATTCTTTTAATAAATTTAAAGGCATCTGAGAAAATGTGAACCAACATATTAATAGTTAAAAGATGTCTATAAAATAAACACATGAGCTAGTAGAAGAGTAAATCCCAGGATGATAATGCCTTAAAGACAAGAAACTACTTAGAAGTGTAAACAAATGACTTCAAATGAAGATTACTTTGCAAATATCTATATTTGGCACAACGACTATTTCATATCTTAAGTTAAACACACGAGGATGTTTCAGTTTCAGTATCCCTATGCAAAGCTTCCTCTTCATTAAAAAAAAATGCTTTTCCATGCTTGTCTTATGGTTGATGAAGAGCTATATAACATATTTATATACAACTCTGTTGAATAGTCTTTTGTAAGGAAAAGGGGGGGGGGGGGGGGGGGAGAGAGGGAGAGAGAACACTACAAGCATCAAAAGAAAATTTCAGTCTATAACAAAGTAAATATCGGTTTTACTCAAAAATATTACGTGATACAGACAGTAAAAGCTTAGATCTACTTATACTTACCATGCTTTTGCACATGTCCATGAGTGTGTATGTGAGAGAGAGAGAGAGAGAGAGAGGAAATTTTGAAAATTACCTGATTGAGATTATTATTGTTCAAACAGAGTGATTTTAGTTGAATGAGATTGCAAGTTGAACCAGGAAGCTCTTCAATAGAGTTATCTGTAACAGAAGCAATCATAGGCTCAAGAGAAAGCAATAGAAGTACTAACTGTGAATCTGAGAAAAAAGGAGAAAAGAAAATGATATTATATATCAACTCAAAATGGCTACTACAAAGACTAGTCTTCTCAGATGTAAGAAGGAAAAGAGTTTCTAATGTTCAATTTGATATGCATACAAAGCTCCGAAAAGACTAGTCTTCTCAGATGTAAGAAGGAAAAGAGTTTCTAATGTTCAATTTGATATGCATACAAAGCTCCGAAAAGACTAGTCTTCTCAGATGTAAGATGGAAAAGAGTTTCTAATGTTCAATTTGATATGCATACAAAGCTCTGACGCCCAGGAAACCAATGGAAAAGGAGAGACAGAAAAATCAGAAGGATTATGAGCTAAAGATGAAGGTACCATTTGCTTGCAGTTCTTCCAAAGAAAAGCAACTTCCAATTGATTCCGGAAGAGACTTTAACTTGTTGTTTGAAACATTTAACAAAACCAACTGCATTGCCAACAGATATTATAAATTCTAAAGCTCAAAAATTTTCAGTGAAAAGGAACTGAGAAGATGCCAGTCTAAGCAGTATGACCTTCACACACACAGACAGAGAGAAAAAACATCATCTAGAATTCAGAAATAGCTGATAATCTTTTAATAACAATATGTGCAATTGTAAAAACCCTTCTAGAGTCAACAGAACCATCGAACTTGATTCAAAGCCCCCAATTTATCACCTCAAGACAACAACCATGAGAATTTGAATGATAAGTTATAACTACGAGTCTACACAGTACTTACTCTGTTTAACAGTGACAATGAAAAGACAGTGGGAAACTAATCAAAATATTAAGCAAGAGGTGTAAGATAAATGTCATAATAAGAGCTTACTAGCACAATTGAGAAATAAATTAGGCTTTCTTTCATAAAAAACATGTATCAACAGAAACCTGCAGCTTAAGCAAAATAGTCCTGGATATCAAGTTAGAAGAATTCTCCAAACAAAGGCATTGGCAAGATCAAAACTGAAGTAATTCTTTTATCACCAAACACCTTTACAGTAAAAATATTTTAACAAACAATAAAAGAATGTAGAAGCAATAACTTTATTGGCACATTAAATGAACTGACAAAGCAGGTAACAGATAAAGTGTAATGAATCACTCACACTACGCAAGCTCCCGATTGTGTCAGGCAAGCTCGTCAACAAGTTCGATGAAACAGACAGACGCTCAAGTTTCACCAGCTGCCCCACTGAACATATGAAGTTTCTACGCTTAGAACAGAGATAAGAAAAAGGTACTCCACTCAACATGAGTGACCTAACATATCTGCACTTACATTCATCAGGCAAGTTTGTGATCCGATTCCCATCAAATGTTGCCACTTTCAAAGACTGAAGCAATCCCAAATTCATGGGAAGGCGCTCAATAACGTTATCAGCTAAAATCTGAATAGAGATAATTGGAAATACAATTTTTTGCTCTTAGTATCAGATAATCAACTTAAGAAATACGGTCATCATTAATAGGAATATGTTCAATTTTAAGAAACGAAAAAAAAAAAAAGAGGGAGAGCAGGATATTGTACTTACAAGACGTTGTAAGTTAGTTAGTTTGTTGATCTCCATGGGAATTTCAACTGTCACAACATAATAGTAAGAATTAGCTTCCAAGAAAACAATCTTTAGGAAAATAAGAGAAAGAAGTATACGAAAACAATCTTCTAGTAGCATTTGTTTTATACTCTAAAATGATAATAAATATATACATAAAATTATGAGCTCAAGAAACTAAAGAGCAATACCCAGTTTATTGTGCGTTAAGTCGAGGGTACGTACAGATCTTTCCAGGTCAAAAACTTCATCAGGAAATGTCTGTTTACAGAAACAAAAAAGATAGTCAAACAAACATTTCATCACAAATATTCGACCTTTTTCAAATGGGCCAACTGAATTGCCTTATTTAACTATATTAAGCATTTCATCACGGTAAGCATCATCCATCAAACACTAATCAAACATATATGAGAATACAATGGATTTGAAGTCCAAAATCATATTTTTCAGAAATAGTGAAACGAAAGGCGATGCATTAAAAGTACCATGAGATAAACATTATATGAACTGTGATTGCAATAAGAAGCGGTAATTAATTGTAATCAGAAAAAGAAAATAAAACAATTTAAGAAGGAAGAGTCGGCGAGCATGTCTAATTAAACTTAATCAGATATTACAGAGAAAAATAATAAAGGGAGCAACAACAAGGCGAGAAGAATGGGGTAAGGAAATGCCTTCAATTTGGAGTCGCGTAAAGCAACGATGCCTGTGGAACGCCATCGCGAAATTGTGCTAGCATCAGCTGCCTTGCTGCTGCGGCAACCCATATATCACTCGAATATTATATATACGCACAAAACGCTTTGAGAATTAGATTGAAATCATGGGTTAAATGATTGGAAAATCTAGAATAAAAAGGTCTTCAACTGGTTCAGGGAACGGCGTTGAAGACCTTTTTGTTTACCGGTCCCCGGAGCCCGGAGGGACCCAAAGGCGTTTAAGCCGACGACTATATGAAACTCAGAGAGAAAGGGAATGGCGACGACTTTTGAATGGTTTGCTTTTGATGTTATTGCTTGAGGTGGGGTCTTGGGTATCTATTATTTTTGTCGTCACACGAGTGGTGATGCACTTTATGTAAAACTATTTCATTTTTAGTTTGTTCCAAACCTCTTCCTAAATTTGATAACAATACAGCGTAAACTTACTATTTTATTCTTAATGATAAACTTTTATAACTATACAAATACTTTGGGCCCTTTTTAACTTGTTTAGTATCACAAATTTCAATAATCGTTCATTTTTCTTAAACTACGTGCCCAGCCAAACAGATTTACATAAATTGGAACGGAGGGAGTACTACGTAATATTATTTTTCCACTCTCGTTTTACTTTTTTTTTTCTTAATAGAGGTTGCCCTTGAATCGTGCAAATGAAAGGTTGAAGACAAGTCTTCGGTGGAATATTGAAGAACAATAATAATTATATACATTTCAATCTTATTACAATTACTCGTTTTTATTGCACATGTATACTGAGTCATGTAATATACAATTTTGCAAAATAATATTAATATTATTGAAACAAAAGTCTTTTGTAAAGACTTACACATGAAATATTAAGAATAAGTTTTGTGAATGATTAATGTGGATTGTCATGTAGTAGCTTATTTGTCGAGGTCAAGATGATTGAATGTCATCCGAGTATAAGAAGATGAACAATTAAAGTTTAATTAGACACTTCTGTTTTTCTTTTACTTATTTTAATTTTATAAAGTATACATGTAATGAAACACATCTCACTAATGCTTTCATATAGAGTATATATAGACAATATTCTTGGTGTATGTTCCTTTCATCTATTTTCATTGCTCTGTTATGATCATTACACTTTATCGACAGTGCAACATAAATTGGCCATGTGAGAATACATGTTGCCATAGATACAATTCACCACTAGAGATTTTTTTTTCTTTTTTGTGTTATTGCAAAACATAAACATACATAAAAAAAAAAAAATTGGATGAATTTGAAAGAATATATTAGGGGGAAAAAGTAAATTGTTAGAATATTTTGGTAGCAAATTTGCTCGTTGTAATTTCTGCATGTATGGTATCGATTTATCATCTTTCGTATTTTTCTAAAATCACCATCACCTTCACCAAAATTTAACCATAAAATTATCAGTTATTTGATCATACCTATATTTCAAAAAAAAAAAATTTCAACAACTTATCCATATAGTATGTTAAATGATCATTTTCAATGAAACTTGTATGATTTTAGCCTACCTTTTATTTATAGCTATTATTTTTGTTGGACTTTAAGCCATTGGGCTTTAAAGTAGAAGAAGTGTGAATTGGAAATGGAGGGAAATTAAAAATTTGAAGAACTGAACTTTTGTCTTGCACTTTGTCCCTTATTGGTGAGGGACAACCACATTTGTGTGCTTATATATAGAATCACTTCTTAAAGCTCTTAAAAGGTCGCGTCGTCGTCGTCGCTTTGGCTTCGGCTTCGGCTTCGGATTTGTCAAATGATCGATAAGATTATTTTTGGACAAAATTTATTTAATTATTTAATAATTAATTAAATGCCAAATCACTGCTGAAAATACGCCAGAACCCTGCTGAAGGTTCAGAGGGCCTCTCTGACCGCTGTTCTGCCGCGACCGCGCTAGAACCACGGCAGGCTGATTCAGAGAGCCTCTCTGACCGAGGTTCTGCCGCGACCGCGGTACAACCGCGGCAGGCAGCGTATTCTTCTGAAAAGTCACCTTTTCCAGACACCTCTTCTGATAATTGCCTATAAATTCTGAGGCAAGGCTCCATTTTCTACACACGAAAAATACTCCAGAACTTCTTTCTTTCTGAATATACTGCATCCTAATTCGCAGTCTCTCTCTCTCTCTCTCTCTCAAATTCGTAAGTGTGATTTTGCTCCGTTCTTTAAGTTCGTTGGTATCCTGCAGTTTGTATTGCCACTGCTACAGGAAGGTTTATTCCGTTTTATCCTGGGAGGATTTAATCCATTACCTTGGCAACGTGTGAGGGGGTTAAAATTCCTTAAGGACACAGAAGAAAATTGTGGACTCGGAATATTTCTTAAACTCTTCTGTTTTTCCAGTTTCTTTTATTTTTCTAACAGTTTTTTTCCTGATTTTTGGTTTAACACAGTAACGATCACAAGCTTAAGGAATTTTATTCTAACGTTTCTGTGTTGAAACATATATTAAACTGTTATTCATATTTTGTATACTGTTTTCGAGACTAAAGCCTTGTTGCTTTCTACTCCAATAATTCTTTCTGTCCGGTTTAATGTACATAAAAACTTTGCCGGAATAATAAACGTACGGGTTTGAAGTATATAAAAACTTCACCATTGTTACGTGTTGTATGTTTGGTTTGATATTCAGTTTGAAGATATCAAAACTTCACTGATTTAACAAAGTTCTGTATTGTTTTCAACTTTACAGAAATATGATGAAAACCAAACTAATGGAAGTGTTGCGGGAACGGGTGCTACTGTTACGAGTGCTGCTGTCTCGTCAAGCCGTTCTACTCCTGCTCATGCTATGGCACCGGCAGAAAAACCCGGAAAGTTTTCCGGTATTGACTTCAAACGCTGGCAAATGAAGATGCTCTTCTATCTTACTACATTGAGTTTGCAACGTTTCATCAAGGAGGATCCTCCGGTCATGGCTGAAAATACTCCGGATGATGAACGACTTGTTGTAACTGAAGCATGGAAACATTCTGATTTCCTGTGCAAAAATTACATTTTGAGTTGTTTGGAAGATGGCTTGTACAATGTCTATAGTGTCATGGAAACTTCAAAAGTGTTATGGAATGCGCTTGAGAAGAAGTACAAGACTGAGGATGCCGGACTTAAGAAGTTCGTGGCTGCAAGGTTCTTGGATTTCAAGATGATTGACACTAGGTCGGTCATAACTCAAGTCCAAGAACTACAAGTCATTGTACATGACCTCCTTGCTGAAGGTATGACCCAAATCAATAATTTTATTAATAAGATTTATCTTATTATTAATAATGAATTTGTTATTGAAGGTATGGTCATAAATGAGGCCTTTCAAGTCGCTGCTTTCATTGAGAAGTTACCTCCGCTGTGGAAGGATTTTAAGAACTATCTTAAACACAAACGGAAGGAAATGACACTAGAAGACTTGATTGTTCGTTTGAGGATAGAAGAGGACAACAAAAATGCTGAAAAGAAGTCACGTGGACACTCGACAATAATGGGGGCAAACATTGTTGAGGAGGCACCACAAAATAAGAAGAGGAAGAAAGCTTCTGGACCAAAGAATTACCCAAGTAAGAAGAAGTTCAAGGGTAATTGCCACAACTGTGGAAAATCTGGGCATAAGGCAGTGGATTGTCGTGCGCCAAAGAATGATAAGAAGAAAAAGAATCAAGCCAACATGGTTGAAGATGAAATGGAAGACTTGTGTGCCATGTTGTCTGAATGCAACTTGGTAGGAAATCCGAAAGAATGGTGGATAGATTCTGGAGCCACCCGCCATGTTTGTGCTAACAAGGAGTTATTTTCTTCTTATGCCCCCGCAGGTCCCGACGAGACAATCTTCATGGGAAATTCATCTACGGCCAAAATTGAAGGAGTTGGCAAGATTGCGTTGAAGATGACGTCGGGAAAAATAGTGACTCTAAACCAAGTCCTCCATGTTCCAGAAATTCGCAAGAATCTTGTGTCTACCTCACTTCTTGTCAAGAATGGATTCAAATGTATTTTTGTTTCTAATAGTGTTGTACTAAGTAAGAACGATTTGTATGTAGGAAAAGGTTACCTAAATGAGGGCCTTTTTAAGCTAAATGTAATAGCAGTTCCTATCAATAAAGTGAATGCTTCTTCTTACTTGCTTGAGTCAAACACTTTATGGCATTCGCGTTTAGGTCACGTAAACTTCAAAACATTGCGAAAGATGATAAATCTAGAAGTATTGCCAAAATTTGATTGCATTAATTCCAAATGTCAAATATGTGTGGAATCAAAGTATGCTAAGCATCCTTATAAGTCCGTTGAAAGGAATTCAAGTCCTTTAGACTTAATTCACACAGATATTTGCGACATGAAGTCAACACCATCTCGCGGTGGGAAAAAGTATTTTATTACTTTTATTGACGATAGCACGAGATACTGCTATGTTTATTTACTTAATAGTAAAGATGAGGCAATTGATGCTTTCAAGCAATACAAGAGTGAAGTTGAAACGCAACTAAACAAAAAGATCAAAATGATAAGAAGTGATAGGGGTGGCGAATATGAATCTCCTTTTGAAGAAATATGTTTGGAAAATGGCATTATTCACCAAACAACTGCCCCTTACTCTCCACAATCTAATGGAATTGCGGAGAGAAAGAATCGAACGTTGAAAGAGATGATGAATGCGTTGTTGATAAGTTCTGGTTTACCACAGAACTTGTGGGGGGAAGCTATACTTACAGCTAACCGAATAATCAACCGTGTACCTCATAGTAAAACACAGTCCATTCCTTATGAAAAATGGAAAGGAAGGAAGCCCAGCTTGAAATACTTCAAAGTGTGGGGGTGTTTAGCTAAGGTACAAGTTCCTAAACCTAAAAGGGTTAAGATAGGTCCAAAAACGGTTGATTGTGTATTTATTGGATATGTAACCAATAGCAAGGCATATCGTTTTCTGGTTCATAAATCAGAAAATCCTGAGATTCACGTTAATACGATAATAGAATCAGATAATGCTGAATTCTTTGAAACTATTTATCCGTATAAAAAGGAAAGTGAAGTGACCTACCAAAAGTCAAAACGACCTCGGGAGGAAATAACAGATGGTATGCCTAATGAGGAAAATCCGAGAAGAAGTAAACGTCAACGGACATCTACTTCATTCGGTCCAGATTTTCTGACTTTCCTGCTAGAAAATGAGCCTCGTACCTTCAAGGAAGCAATGTCTTCCTCAGAAGCACAATATTGGAAAGAAGCTGTCAATAGTGAAATAGAATCCATATTGAGCAACCATACCTGGGAATTGGTTGATCTTCCTCCAGGTAACAAAACATTGGGTTCTAAATGGATTTTCAAGAAGAAAATGAAAGACG